TATAATGAATATGTTATATGGTGCATATATTAAGCAAAATGCCCCTCTCCACAGTTTATTTTTCTATATGACTAATGAGTTTATAGTCACCGAATATGTTTTTTCAGGTAAATGTGACGTTACGTGACATTGTTTACAAGCCGTTATATTAATGTCTTTGCGCGGCTGAAACACTGATTGAACGATTACATGAGACAGGATACGGATTGTAAAGTTGTACTTTCTTTTAAATTACCTTCAGATGTTTAGTCATGTTTATTGTTTATGTGCTGAAACTGGTATTAAGTTCTAGTACATACCATTTACATCGGTACTAGGGCTGGGCAAAAAATCAAATGCGATTTTCATGAGAATCTTGTCAGTAAAGCCGCTTCTGCTGATTAGTAGTAAATCTCCAGCACGTGCGTTCAGATGGAGCGGCATATACTACATGAAAATACTACATGAAAATTGCATTCGATTTTTTGCACAGCCCTTATAAGGTCCCGGTGCCATATTGGCCCAGCCCTAGTAGTTACCTTGCTGTCTATGGGAGGGTCAGAGAGCCCTCATATTTCATCTAAAATATCTTAAATTGTGTTCCGAAGATGAACAAAGGTCTTACGGGTTTCGAACAACACGAGGGTGAGTAATTAATGACAGAATTTTCATTTTTGGGTGAACTAACCCTTTAAGACTCTTTTTCTTTTCTTCTTCTTCTGTTGTTATGTTGCACATTAGCAACAGTGCTGAAACTTTTTGAAACGTATTAATGTGGAGGAGATCTGATCAGTTCACGTGCGCCTCGCGTTGTTTGAATACTGCAATACAATGGACAGAATTTGAAATCTGAGACTTTGTTTCATATTAACAGTACCAAAGCACAACGCTTATTGCGATTTATTGGATGGGAAGTACCCTTCAATGTTCCGTCCATTAACTGAAAACAGGCTAGACTAATCGATTCTTGGGATTTAAGAATCGATATCGTTCCGTAAAAATGAGAATCGATTAATATGGAGATATCGATATTTTTTTGCCCAGCCCTAGTAGTTACCTTGCTGTCTATGGGAGGGTCAGAGAGCCCTCAGATTTCATCAAAAATATCTTAAATTGTGTTCCGAAGATGAACGAAGGTCTTAAGGGTTTGGAATAACACGAGGGTGAGTAATTAATGACAGAATTTTCATTTTTGGGTGAACTAACCATTTAATGTCAACTTGAAATTCTAACTGAACTTTCCATTCACTTTCATAATATTACTATACAATAATACTCAGTCTTATTGTGCACAAATCATTGATGTATGTTTTTCTAAAGAAAAAAAAAAGAAGGATGCACAGTATATCTGTACGTAACAGTCATATTAGTGATTTTTTTATTTATCAATATTGAATGTTCAGTTGTTCATGCTCATTTCCGTATTTTTATACATAGATTACCTTTGTTAATAATTTCATAACATTTAAACTTAGCAAATCCCAAAATGAACATTTGCATACTGTACATTATAGTGTTGTGATGTGTACATTTGCATTTAAATCTATTGATTTTAGTTTTTAATTTAGACAAAATAATATGGAATTTAAATACAGTATCTTCCATTTATCAGGTATCAGCCATAATATGAGAATAATCATCAGTATCAGCCACATAATAATATTAATATCAGTACATTGTTAAAATGTCTCTTTGTAGTCTTTTTAAAAACTAAGATCTGAAACAGCTTTACTTTTTGGCTGATGTTACATGAATGTTACATGTTAAATGTTGGCAGGGAAAATGATGTTATCAAATAGCCAAATATGTGTGTAGGCATTGTTTTAGGTTTCAGCCTATAATTGGGTTCTTCTTGATGTGTGTCCTTCCTTTGCCCTACAGACTCAGGGGTCAGTCATAGGACAGAAATGCCATGCACTGTCCACAAAGTGAGAAAACATGTCCATTTAGTAAATCAGAACTGTTGACACTAGATTGAATCTTGCCCTGTGGCTTTTCCATGCATCCATCTTTGTATGTACAAATCGTACAAAAACTTGAATGTGTGATGTTTTGTCCTGCCCTGTTTCCAATTGTACTGTCACACACAACACACAGAATTTGAAGCGTGACCAAATAAGCCAGTGTACTGTTATTAGAGGTGATGAATCACTGTCAAAACAGTGAGGGGTCACGCAGATTTCATATTCCAGACAGAGGCTTTGTTTACTCAGTGTCACTTGATTCATTTCTTCCTAATTAAGCCAAACGTGTAAGTATTGCTCTGAAATCCCTTTCTGCTTTGGAACTGAAACAAATAGATGCATTTGCCAGGATTTCTCAGGATTTATTATGTTTGAACAACCTGCCCGCAGCCGTGCTAGACAAATAGTATTTGACTTTTGTTTGACAAAGACAATTACCAAACCTCAACAAGGTGTAAGCAGTCTTATTGCATGTGTTTGATTGTATACTTTGACTTTAAATATGTTTAATAAATTAATTTAATTACATGTGCCATTTCTGGAATTCAGTTCAGATTTTTCTGCCAGGTATTATAGGGCATTAATGGTATTTTCTTCTCTTTTACCTTTTTAGAATTATATGATCCCCCTGAAGCAAGTGTTAACACCACAGGACATGGAAGCCATATTTGTAAATTTAGAGGTGAGTGATCATTTACTGTATTCTACATTTACAACCTACAAATATTTTACATGTTTATTTTTTCCCAAAATATGTTTATTAACAATTACGGTGAACTCTATGTTACTCATATTTTTGTAGTAGCTTAAATGTTGAATTTACTGATTATTATGTATTTGTTTCCTTTAAAAATAAAGTACATTTAATTTTTTTTCTTTTTTTACAAGATATAATATGTAATATATATAATATATATTCAGACACTGAACTGTCAAATTAGCTCAGTGAGCTGCCTATGTTAAGTAATTTAAATGGCATAAATGGCAAAAATTTAAATGGGCAAAAGCTTGTGTCTGACAGCAAATGAATAATTCTGAGAGGGCAAAAGTATGGTACAACAAATGAATAAATAATGCTTGGGTGGCAATTTTTGACAATTTCTCCACAGGACATCATCAAGGTCCATTTTGCTCTGCTGAGGGCCATTGACCTGACCATGGTGAGTGGCAATGGCCTGGGAAAGATCTTTTTGGACTTCAAGGAGAGGTCAGTACCTTCATGGAGTATTTTGGTTTATCACTGTCAGTTCTATTATAACAGCTCTCCCTTTGGTCAACACCTTAAGCCTCTGTTGAGCTGAAATTACCTCAAGTGAAGGAGGCAAAGTCTTGCTGCTGTCGCCCACCCCAAAAAAATCCATCACACCAGCAGCGCCTGACCGCAGCAGCCCAACTATTTTTAAATAAATCCTCGTCAGAGCCCACAACCCACAGGGCTTAGAAAGAAAATAGACCTGTCTGCGAGAGTCTGCTGCTTTAGAGCTGAACACTTCCTGTTTTGAGTGCTCTTTTTGTCTCCCTTAGCTGCTGTATCAAAAATCAATAACCAAATAATAGAGTATGTTTTAGCTACTTTATCCACAGTGGATGACAGATACTCGAGGGCTCAAGTAAAATCATAACACCATTTTATCTATACCTACCAAAGATGGAGGATTTATCCAGCTACTATACAGTCTCTTTCTTTTTACAGTCATTTTTGTCTTTCTGTAAAACCTCTTAAAACTATCATAAAACATGACCCTAAAGTAATAGTAACCCAAAAATGAAAATTATGTCATTTACACAACATTGGACCACACTGACTTTTACTGTATGGAAAAACAAACAAACCTTGAGACACTTTTTAAAATATCTTTTCTTGTGTATCCCTTTAATACTGTACTCTCACTTACACAGCTGACAATATTAAGATGCAGATGAGATGAGCCACTCTTATTCTCTCTGAAGTTTGAATGTGAGCAGCTGTACCTGGTGTACACCAGGTCACTGGTCTGGGACCGCTGCTGATTCAGCTCAGTAATGTGCAATTTCCCTGCAGTTCCCTTTGTACTGAGAAACACTGAAGCCTAACTAAGTGACAGGCCCTATAACAGTCAGCTTATTCTAGTAATGCTACAGTATATTAAACTCTGCGTTATCAGGCATTACTAAGACCCTCTGAATCCATATTTCTGTATAAGAGTTCTCCTCTTGCTGTGCTCAGCACAATTGCTGTTTTTTTATCCCATCTGGGACCTACTTAATAAAACCGAGGTCAATTATGACCTCACTGCAATTAGAGTGCATGCGTCCTCAGAGATGAGAACTTTGGTCTAGTGTTCTGGTTTATTAAGCAACCAGATGACCTTGCAGTAATATCTTAGGAATTAACGTTGCTACAATTCTTGGATCATGATCTCCATGAGCGCAGTGTTATCAGACACCAGGGTTATAAAAATCCTATTTGTTATACATGCAGATTTTGAGGAAGTTAATGTTCTAGACTTGCAGCAACTTTACTTGTGACCCTAGTCAGTTCAGTGGGCATGTATGACATTTTTTAGCCTTTTAGAATCACAAAAATGATTTTAGACTTGCACCAGGTATAATCTAAGTCTGATATTAGTGTATATCTAGGGTTTGAAATGGACATTTGTTGAAAGTATAGATAGTAAACTCCAAGCACAAATGGGATTAGTACAAAATGAGGAAATCAACTGAAATAAACATCTCTGGCTCCTGGCTGATTAGTTCAGCATCATGTGGCAGTCACCAAGCTTCCAAAATGTCCTTGTATTTGAGTTCACCTAAAAATGAAAATTCTATCATCTTTTACTCACCCTTATGTTGTCCTAAACCTAAATGACAAGAATATGTTGCAGAACAATACAGCTTTGGAAAGTCAGGTTTGGAGTGACATAAGGGTGAGTTGAGTACTGTAACTAGCTATGTTTCCATCCAAAGATTCGAATTAAGCTTATGCGCAAAACTGGAATATCGCATAAAACATATGCGAATAAAGCACCGTTTCCATCCAACGAGTCAAAGAGAACAAAATCGTCACTTCCTGGTAAACTGTGGCACTAAATATCACTAAGAATATAGGAGAAGCTACTGAATATAATAATTTTCATATATGATATAAATTACTTGCGCCTCAGAGCAAACAGACGAAACACAATGAATGGTGTCATTGCTTTCGGAGGCGGATGCCTGCTGTTTGGGAACGCAGTCGTGTAAGATAATTATACAGAAATACTTTGACGACAAACTTTGCTCAGGCACTTCAGAATGACCATAACCAGGGGCGTCATGCACTCATGATTTTTGAGGGGGCACGTGGCGGGGGGGCCTATATCAGTTATACAATAGCAGTTTAACTGATGTAGGCTTATGTTTTATTTATTTTTTCATTTTTATTCGAAATATTTCCAAACGTGTTAACTATATCAGGAAATATCTCGATTCTCAAATATGTGTAAGTAAATGCGTTTTGCACCTTTATAGATTATGTTATTTGATCAATAAATGGTGATGGGCAAAGAGGACTAATAGGCCTAGTGTAATCTATTAACTACACATAAAAACCTGACTTTTTACTTAAGTACCAGATATGGGTGTCATAAAATATTTTTAATACGACTGACTTTGTATTTAATGTGAATTTAATAACAATATTGTAAGTTACTAATTATAACACTTTCATTTTACAGAGAGCAAAGAACATTTACATTAACAAATAACATTTTCATTCAGTCTAGCCAGAGTTCAGGCACTCTCAAAAACTCCCATTAAAATCACTGAAGCTGTTTACACTGTGAAATTAATATCTTATACTTACATTCGTACGCACATCTGCACTTTGTTGTTTCTGATTAGAGAATTTGCCAGATAATTCAGTCAGCGAGCAAGTGAACAAAACACCGCGTTTCAGCGATGACTCATCTGAACACCTCTGATTGGTCATTGCATTCTAAACAGAATTGCATGCTAAACAGAATCGTGTGTGATTGGTTATAATTAGTGGTCAACGTTAACACGTTAACGCATGTGATTAATTTTACAATCCTTAACGCGTTAAAATAATTTAACGCAATTAACGCAAAATTACTGAAGCACAAAATAATTTAACGCAATTAAGGCAAAATTACTGAAGCACAATTTCTATTCTAACCCAATTTTGCTTCTCTGCTTGCGATCAGATCATTTTAACCCTCTGGCCCTCTTCGTTTAGGAGTCACACTTGCCTTCTTCTCGGTCAAAAGTGACCGAAGCCTTGAAATTTAACTTTTTGTTTTTTTTCAGGAAAATCAATGTAATATCTTTTTGTTCAATAATATTTTTTTATTATTATTTATGATTTTGAGAGAATTTTATGATACTATGCAATATTTATACAATTTTAATGAGCTATTTTCTCCATTAGAATTAATATGTTTTTTTTATCTCTTTATTTATTTACTATTTTTTACTAAATGCAATATCTCACATTAAAATAGAGTGAAGGCATTTAAAATCCATTTTTTGAAGTGAGAATTGGGCCATCTGGAGGCATTAAAAAAATAAAAACTTGTGTAATGTTGCGTAACCTCTTGTATTAGCACCCTATATAGATATATACAGAGGCTTTTGGATTCCCGTTGTATGATAATGTTTTGATTTGTCATGTGTATGTTGCTGTGTTTTGTTATTCTGAATGGATCAGTGTACTGTAGTAGATATTTATTTATATATATATATATATATATATATTTATTTATATGCAGTCAGCAGGCGATTGGTTTAGGGGTTGTTGTTTTTTTTGGCATCTCCATGTGGTCCTGTTCGGTATGGCAACTTGACTTCTCTAAAATGTAAAAAAGTTCTTTGCTGTTGCACTGTACACATACTATAAAATTCTGATTTTTTTTCTTTCATATGTGCATATATAGGCTCCTTATATCATTTGGTTCTTTGGTGTCCTTTTGGAGTACTTTTTTGGAAAGACATCTAAATTTATCTTGAAAAAAGCTTCAGAATCACCCTTCAATCTTTTGGTTTACTTTGCTGGATATAGCAAATGATGACAAAATAAACATTTGAAACAAGATAAATGGTCTATGCTTAATTTCATGAAGTGTGCGATTCAAATTAATATTAATATTAATAAAACACCTATTCAAAATATTAATAAATACCATAATAGTATATAAATAATACAAAATAAAGTAAATAGCAAATAGGTTTTTGCAAGCAACATACACTAACGTTCAAAAGTTTTAGAAAATTTAGCTGAGCCAACAGGAATAAACTGCATTTTAAAAATATATTCAAATAGAAAACAGTTATTTTAAATTGTACAAATATTTCATAATATTACTGTTTTTGCTGTATTTTCTATCAAATAAATGCAGCCTTGGTGAAAAGAAAAGACTTCTTTGAAAAACACTACAAAAAAATCTAACCAATCTAAAACTTCTGAGCAGTAGTGTATCATCTCCAATATTTGAAATTAAATGAAATACACTTTATTATCCCCAAGGGGGAATTTGTCTTGGACTCAAGGTGAGTTTACATTGACAAAATGTTGGATCCATAAACAATGAACTCAAAAATACATAATACATAATAATAAATACATTCCAGGGAATCAAAAAGATCCAGTTAAATGACCAAACAAAGTGAATTTCCCACATAATGCTTGCATGAGCACAAC